GAAAAGTCAGTGACACCCAGACCTTCATCAGGGATGTTGGAAGGAAGAATTCTCTTAGGATGTGTACGGTGCAGGCCAGTCTTCTCTAAACCTAGGTAAAACGTGTGTCTTATTTTGGATTGTCATACCATTTGTGTCTTGAGATGTACCAGTGCCCTTTTGCTTTGTCTCGTGGCTACTAGGGTCTTTGCTCTGTCCCCCACTAGACTTGGAGCCTCTGTAGGGAAAAACTTTTGCCTTCTGCATTCCTACTCTGAATCCATGCCTGGCTCCCGGCCCAACACAAGGGACCTCAGAAAATTTCAGGTGCAAGGAATAATTCACTAGCTCACAATCCCTCCTTGGGCAGGCAGGTGGGCTATGTGGGGATATCATCTCTGGACTCAAGAGCTGTTTCTGTTATCCACAGGCCACTGGACTTCGTGGGGACTTTCAGTAACCGATGGTCCTATGGAGTTGCTTTTGGGGCCACAGCCAATAAGGTCATGTTCTTGTTCTCAGAAGGCTACCAGCCCCTGCAGGTCCCGCAGTGGGCCCAAGGTACTAGGGCTGACCTGCTGAGAGTTGTTACCTGGAAGTAATTGCTCTATGAGACCACTAGGGTCCTTTGTGATCCCGGGATAGATTTTGTGAACTGTTACATGTAAGGTCAATGCTGATAGGGCTCAGAAAGCCTGAAAACATGTTTGTGAGCCAAGCGCTGGTGGCTCATGCCTGTCAGCTACTCAGGAGGCTGAGATCTGAGGTTTGCAATTCAAATCAAGCCCAGGCAGGAAAGTCCACAAGACTCTTATCTCCAAATTAACTACCAAAAAGTCAAAAGTGGAGCTATAGTTCAAATGATAGAGTATCAGCCTTGAGCACAAATGCTCAAGGCCAGTACCCAGGCCCTGAGTTCAAGCACCAGTACTGCCCACCCCACACACACACATGCAAGCATGCGTGCATCCACACACACACACACAAGCTTGATTGCAGTTTTCCTTCAGTTAGATTCAGAGGTCATTTAGACATGATTTGAAAATGTTCAGGCAATCAGTTCTTCCTCACCTACCTGCCCCTGCCCCATGCTATCCCGAAACACAGCCGTGGCTGCTTCCTTGATGTTAGCAAGTTCTAGCGCTCTTCCTCCAAGAACCAGGATTACTTCTCCGACACTGGCCTGAGGCTCGTGGTTCTCCTGCCTCATGTTCTGCTTAAAGGAGCAACTTTAATCTACAGGTTCCATGACTTCTTGTACAACAATTCAAAACCTCTCTGTCCAGCCCATGCCCTCAGGGTTAGGGTTAGCTTCTGTCTGCACTACAATTATTCATGTTGATACCAGTCTTCCCTGCCAGTTCCCCAGCCCCCCCTTTCTGAGCTGCCCAGACCAGACAGCTCTTGGCTTTGCTGCCTTTCTTAGATCTTTCTCTCTGTCTTATATCTAGTATTGCACCACCTTGCTAAATGCCACCACCTCTAGGAAGTTTTCCCAATCTTCTCTTCCCCCCTCTCTGTGGCTAGTTGAATGTGTTCTATTGTAGTATATTTCCCAAATCCTGATTTTCTCCGTCAGCATCTCAAAGCAAGAACCCTGCTTGTTCCTCCTGTGCTTAGTGCCTGCCTGCTTAGCCCAGACAGCAGCTCAAAGTAGATACCATATTGCATGATTAGGTTTTTCTAGGTCCTGTCAGGCTATCTCAGAGCTAGTTAGTGGCCCAGCCAATGCGCTGATTGACTTATGTTAGAAAAAGTGTGCAGAGCACTTTCCTTTCAAGGACTTTTGTTTGTTCATTTGTGTGGTCTGTCTCCACCAGTCATGCAGTGAGCTAATCATGTATGAGGATTCAGTCTTCATCTCTACAGTAAACTTGGTACCTGTCATGAATAAGAACTGTGAAGGGTCTGTGGCAGGAACTAAGGAAAGACCCTGTGGCATTCCCCTTTGACCTAACATGGGGCTTTCTCGCTCCTCTTGTTGGTCCTGGGGTCCCTGACTTGAGGTCAGCATGAAGCAGCACCACTTCTTCCCAGGGCTCCTCTGGGTCTGGTGAGAAGAGAAACTTACCACCTTTCTGGCCTTCCCTTCTCCTCCTCCACAGCCTTTCTGCTTCTGATTGGAGGCTTTGAAGTTGGCCTGTCATACTTCCCCTTCTTTGCCTGCCTCTCCTCCAAGTCCCAGCTGGCCAGCTCAGTCCTCGGCTTCAGCTACTCTCTGATTTGGTAAGATGGACGCTGCCTGTTCCCCTCCCCCACTCAGCCCTAGTTGGCCCTTGGGCAGAGGACTGGGTGTGGTATGAGAGCTCCCTCTGGAGGACACAAGGAGAAGACACAGAGTAGACAAAAGTGCAGCATTCTCTCTGCTTCGCACTAGGCTGCTGGTGATTACAATATTCATCGGTGTCAGGGAATGCAGGAGAAAATAGTCCTGGAAATCATCAAGGGTCTCATTGTGGGAAGCAGGAGCCCCCATCTGATGATGTTCTCAGTGTTGTCATGGCTTCTCACAAGCTCCTCAGAGAAAGCTGCTGTACCTTCACTTGGCATGAAGGGCCGTGACCACCCGGCCTCTTCCTCTCCAGGCCCCTATAGTGTCTTCCCACAGACACTCCTATATTCCTTCATCATTCATTGCTCAGGAACTGTGAGCCAAGGAATAAGACAGAAATAAGACAGATCCCCATTGTCCCTTGGTTCTGGCCATCGGGTCTACCTGGTCGTGTGTGTGTGTGTGTGTGTGTGTGTGTGTGTGTGTGTGTGTGTGGTATGTTCTTGCTCTGATGACAATGGCTGCTAAGTCTTCCTTCTCTGCCCAATTAGACTCCAAGATTCTGTCCTACATCAGGGCCCATTAAGTGAACGTAGTACACACTCACTTTGGTATGATTGGAGAGAGGCATACACGGAGGTGAGAACCAGCTCCCCCCACCTCCAGGGAGACCAGAAGGGAGGCAAGCTGGATGAATGAATGAAGTATGGGCTATGTTCACAGGTTCACAGGGGCTATTTGTGGGGATCTTCTAGGAGAGAATCTAGTTCCCCAAACCCTGCTTCTCTTCTAACAGGTTTACAGTCACTATTCTTCAAATCTCACAGTGTCCCCACGGACAGGTAAGTCCCTGTTGACAGGTCATGTCATCATAGACCTAAGCTGCTCAGGACACTCATTTGGGAAGCACCTATGATCATCGAGGTGCCCATTCACAGACTAGTGTTGTCCCATTTGATCCTCCAGGAGGAGGAGTTCATCAAGCCTGTTTTATAGGTGTGGAAACTGAGATGCAAGCATATTAAGTGATAGGGCTGGGAATGGCTGGACAGGCATGGCCCTGTCTACTGCGCTACCTGGTGGGCCTGCCCTGCCCCACTGGAGCCTGCACCCCTTGCTTGCTTCTGTTGCAGTTTCTGGGAAGGTATGAGACCCTCGTGTTCTACTGGCCCTCATTGCTGTGCCTGGCTTTCCTGCTGGGCCGCTTCCTGCACATGTTCATCAAGGCTCTGAGGGTCCACCTGGGCTTGGAGCCCTCGATGGTGAGTATTGAGCTTAGTCACTGAGTGTGTTCCTTGTCACATTCTGGATTCAAAAACTAAGACCCTGAGAGTGGAGCCTTGCTCCTCACTTATAGGATGATGCCTGGGAATGGCCAAGTCTTGTACCCAATAACCCTTCCTAGAGACCAAATCCTAATGAGGATTTATGAGGCCAGGTGCTCTTATCTCTCTCTTTCTTTCTGTCAGGAAGAAAGGCCAATGCTGGAAGTCCACCAGGCAGAACACGTCAAACAGCTGCTGCGGAAGGCCCGTCTGCAGTAAGCTGCACTTCTGTCCATTTCACAGTAACTGGCCCCACAGACAGGTCCTGGGACACGTGGAAAGCACTCCAAGAATAGGGACTGCTATTTACTAATAAAGTGGACCAAAGCAAAGACAGGCATTTACAGGCTTGCATCACTAGGGAACCTAGAAGGACTCACTTTTCTGCCAGCTAGATCTAAGAGCATAACTGACATCCTCAGAACTGGGTCTCTCTTCCCTTACACTCTTCATTCCACGTTTTATTTATTTTTTCTGTGCTGGTTCTGGGTCTTGAATTCAGCACCTGCTGTTCTCCTGTAGATTTTCTTTTTCCCACTCAAGGCTGTCAGTCTACCACTTAAGCCACAGCTCCCCTGCCAGTTTATGGCTGGTTAATTGAAGATGAGTCTCCTGGACTTTCCTCCCCAAGCTGGATTCTAATTTGATCCTCTGATCTCAGCCTCCTGAGTAACTAGGATTATAGGTGTAAGATGCACCAGCACTTAGTCTCAACTGCACTTGAACTGGGCCTCACAGTGAGGTACGCCTCCTCCTATTGGTGGTCTCTAGACTCTCCAGGTTTACACTTTGCTGTTTTAAGCTTAGAAGGAAGAGAAATTTTTCTTTCCACTTATTCAAAGTTTTAACACATTTCATTGTATCAAATTTGATCCCATATCACTGTTAGCCAATTAGTTTGACTAGGTGGTTGATAGACACTGATTGGCTAAGCCTGGGTCACATGTTTCTGGTCTCACTTCTGCTCTGAAACCAGGAAGTAGTTTCAACACCAGTTAGCCAATAGGACTCAGGGGAGGAGATGGATAGTTTCCCAAATAATAACTGATGTGCAGGTGCCAATAGAGGAGGAGACATTGCTGTCTCACAGACAACTGTGTCAGAACTTAAGAGGTTATTCAGGACAGCCTGACTCTGCCCTTGCCACCGGGCATGATCGGTACATTCCAGAGAAGAAACATCTCTCGTCCAGCCCACACAGTGGCAAAGCTAGTATTTTGGCTGGAATTAGGCTTGATTATATATGTGTAGGAAAACTCAAAATAATAGTTGCATAAAGAAGTGAGAGATCTATTAGTTTTCCAGTAAAAGAACTCTAGGAATGAACATTGCATATTGACCCTAATCCATATTAAACACCATGGCAGTTCATAAGTCACACATGTGTCTCGTTTTGTTTTTTTCATTTACTATCTTGGTATATTTTCCTTCCTCAGTGTTGTCTCATGGTTTAATAATGGCTATAGCAGCTCCAGCCTGAACCATGTCACCATTTCAGTGGGCAGATAGAAGGAAAGAAATCGGGGCAACCATTTGTTAGGAAATGGAAAAAATTATATTAAGTGAAGTAAGCCAGGCCCAAAGAAACATAGGTCCCATGGTTTCCCTTATTTGCAATATCTAGTATATCTATGAGTCAAGTGGAAAAGGTCAGATAATGTGATGTCAGGAAATTGAACCCTTAGATATGTATCTTAATGTTTTTTTCTTTCATGCATGTGTTTCTAATGCACTTATAAGATTATCTCTTTGTTGCTTGGTATGTCCCTCCTCCACAGTATAACCCCTGCTTTCACTATATTTGATGTCAGTATAACTTGAGGAGGAGATGGGGAAAAACCAGTTGTTTAAAGATACAGGTGGACCTGTTGCAACAATGAGAAGTACAAGTTGTCATGTCAAAAACGAGCTTTACAACGTTGGTGCGGGGGGGGGGAGGGGGGGAAGGAGAAAGATTGGGATTGGGGGGGAGGGGGGAGGCTGGGAAGTGATGTGAAGGGTAAACAAAAGGAGGAGGCTGCAATGCTTGGTAAGAAATGTACGCATTATCCTGCCCATGTAATTGTAACCCCTCTGTACAGTATCTTCACAAATAAAATTAAAAAAAAAAAAGAAATCGGGGCAAAGGGGACCCATTAGCCTTGTCAGTTAGTTCTGTCTAGGCAGCCTCCCCAAAGACCCATATCACACCTCTGGTCACATCATAGTGATGGAACCTAATTTGATTTTTCTTAATTATGAGAGGGGAATTTTATTCTTTTAGTCTCATGAATTGCTACCCCCACCCCATACCTAGTTTCTACTGTAAGGATAAGGGGCAATGAAGATGGTGGCACTACCAGTACTCTTTCTCCAACACTAATCTCTGACATGAAGAAAAGAAGATGGCGTTATTTCCAGAAGAATCAGACATTTATTTACTCACTGCAGCCTTTTCCTCTTTTGTGTTCATTCATTCACAGAGAAAATAAAGGCTCCTGGTTCCAAACCTGGGTGTATGAATGGGATCCCTGCTTCCAGTTCCCAAGCAGAATGATAGGAACCATTGTGCTGGCTTTCATATGCCTGTACCTTGTAAGTAGCTCTGGAAGTCTATTTTATAAATGGAGCAGTGTGGAACTGGGTTTAGATGGACTTTGAGGCAAGCAGTATGTACCTAAAAATGTGGGTTAAAGCTGAATCTTTGTCAGTCAAAGAAGTACAATGGGCCAGGTACCAGTGGCTAATGAAGCTAAGCTGTAGAGGATCTCAGTTCAAAGCCACCCAAGGCAGAGAAGTGGAAGAGTGGAAGACTATCCCTAAAGGAACTGGCAAAAACCAAGCTGGAGATGTGGCTCAAGTAGTAGAGCACCAGTTGAGCAAATGTTCAAACCTTGGTACCAAGGGAGTAGGAAAGGGGGGGAGAAGAAGGTACAATATTTCAACTCTACCATTTTGATTCCAGGGATACTTTTACCTACATAGTGAATACTACTAGGAAAATTAATTCACACAGAATAACTGATAATGGTTAAAACTCTATGTGGTAAAATTTGTCATTGATTAAAAATTGATGGAAGGAAAATATAAATTACTGATATGCAAAGGGAAGTTGGTAGAAACAATCATCTCTAAAGGAAACTTGCAGATATAGAATCTACAGACAGTAAACTATTCTGTAAAAAATCTAATCCTTTAAAAATGAGATCATTGATCTTACAGAAGTAATTTCAGTGAATTATAAATAAAAGTGGGGCTAGGTACCCATAGCTTATGCTTGAGATTGAGATCTGAGGACTGAGGTTCAAAACAAGCCTGGGAAGGAAAGTCTACAAGACTCATCTTCAATTAGCCACCACAAAACGCCAAGAGTGGAGCTGTGGACCAAGTGGAAGAGCAACAGCCTCATGTAAAAAAGCTAAGGGACAACATCCAGGTCCTGAGCTCAAGCCCCAGAATCAGCACAAAAAAATAAATAAAAAGTGGGCAAATTAGAAATACCTTATGGTACTGCATCTTAAAATATGGATCAAAATTAAAATATTTTAGTTTGCTTTCTCCATAGTTTTTCTATTTGAAAAAAATATGATTTATGCCCAGTGCTGGTGGCTCACGCCTATAATCCTAGCTACTAAGGAGGCTGAGATCTGAGGATCAGGGTTCAAAGCCAGCTCAGGCAGGAAAGCCTGTGAGACTTTTATCTCCAGTAAACCACCAGAAAACCAGAAGTGGTACTGTGGCTTAAGTGGTAGAACGCTAGCTACCCTTGAGCTGAAAAGCTGAGGGGCAGTACCCAGGCCCAGAGTTCAAGCCCCATGGCCAGAAAAAAAAGATTTATGTAATGGCTTTTTTGTTGTTGATGTATGTGGTAACAAGGAATTGAACCATGCATGCTAGACAGCATTCTTCCACTAAGCCACAATCGCAGCCCTCAATGTAAGTTTTAAATGAGGACATAATTGAGACATCAATATAGATTTTGTGTGCTTAAAGTTAACTGAAGTGAAATGAGTAGGTCAAATAGCAGGAATAAAGGTTATAAAGCCTAATTTGTTTTTGTTCATTTGCAGTATACTAGGATGATATGTATTAAGTAAGTCCTGTAATTAAATTCTTGTATGTGTATTAGTTAGATTATTCTTATAATAGCTCCCTAACTTTAGGCAGGGGGAGGGGGCAGTTCTCCTCCACCTGGTCTTCCAGGAACCCCGTATTCTCTGCCATTCCTGAGAAACGCATTGGCATCTGCATACAGTTAACAGAGAGGAAGGAGCATGGAACCAAATATTTGTGCGAGGTTTCACGGACTCTGTGATATCACATGTTCCTTTTGCTGCCTTTTCACTGGCAAGAATCTGGTCATGTGATCATGCCAATATAAAGGAGGCTGGAAAACAGTCTACGCTTTACCCCAAGAAAGAAGTGTGTGTGTGTGTGTGTGTGTGTGTGTGTGTGTGTGTGCTGGTTATTGGGGTTGAACTCAGGGCCTCTGGTGCTCAGCTCTTTTGCTCACAGATGACAGTCTACCACTTGATCCACACCTCCACTTCTGGCTTTTTGCTGGCTAATTGGAGATAAAAGTCTCAGGCTAGCTTCAAACCTTGAGTCTCAGATCTCAACCTTTGAGTAGCTAGGTTTACAGGTATGAGTCATCAGTGCCCAACTTCAGAAGAGTTTTGACTGCCTGGAAGAGACTGGTTTTATAACAAAGGTCAGATATGTATGTGATTCCTGTGCTGAACTGGTCTCAGGTGAACCTGAAATCTTTTCTCTGTGTCCCCAGTTCATTGTCATTGAGTTCTGCATGTTTGTGTATGTGAGAGACAAGTTGGATATGTTCGAAGGGAAGCTGGAGAGCTACCTCACCTATATGAACGAGACAGGGACACTGACCCCAGTTATTCTACAAGTCCAAGAGCTGATCAGTGTCACCAAAGGTAAAACCATCTGCCACCATTGTTCCTGGGTGGCAGTTGCATGCATATAACTGTACTGCTGTAGTGTGGAAATCATCTGACTAAGATGCTTCATTTTGTTTGGAAATAAGCTAGAGTTTATGTCTCTCTAGGTTGACATAGGGAACACAAAAGATGCAATGCAGTGTGCCTCTGAGCATATAAAATAGTATTTGTAGAGCTGGGCGCTGGTGGCTCACGCCTGTAATCCTAGCTACTCAGGAGGCTGAGATCTGAGGATCACGGTTCAAAGCCAGCCCGGGCAGGAAAGACTGTGAGACTCCTATCTCCAATAAACCACCAGAAAACCGGAAGTGGCGCTGTAGCTCAAGTGGTAGAGCGCTCGCCTTGAGCTGAAATGCTGAGGGACAGCGCCCAGGCCCAGAGTTCAAGTCCCACGACCGACCAAAAAAAATTAAAAAAAAAATAGTATTTGTAGAAATGAACTTTAGAAATGGAAGCAAAAGAGTTTTTCTTCATTGCTGTTATTGTTTTCTTTTTGTCTTGTTTGTTCATTTATCTGTCTTTGTGAGGGTGGTGGGGGAACACTCAAATGGAGAGACAAAGGGTGAACAAATACAGCAGTAGTACTCATTAGACACTATGTCAAAAATGAACTCTACAACTTGTGGGTAGAGATAGGAGGGAAAACTGGGAGAGAGTGAGGGAAAGGGTGACATTGTCCAAAAGGAAATCTACTCATTACCTGACTTACGTAATTGTAACCCCTCTGTACATCATCTTTATAATAATTTTAAAAAAATAGCGTAGGGGTCAGGATGAGGGTCATTTTGTTAAACTGTACTGGGGACTGAGCTGAGCATACTCTGAGAATTTTCTCATCTTAAAGATGAAGAACTAAATGATCTAAAGAAGAACTAAAATGATCCTATATTTTTCCAGTTGAAATAGCCATCAAGCCTTAACTTGTCCTTAAGATAGTATGAGAAGTTTGTATCTTTCAAGTTTTACCTGGAAGTTATTTTTAAAGATAAATCTCTTGTCCTCAGCTGAAATCTTCCATCTTTTGACCCACATCTTCCTAAGTCTTCCCCCTGGTAACCACCATTATAACTTCTGCTTCTGTGGGTTCAGCGATTTTAGGTCCCACAGACAAGTCAAGCAGTCATTTTTGTATTACCGTGACAAATACCTGAGAAAATGAATGTAGGGGAGGAAGGCTTTGTTTTGACTCACAGTTTCAGAGTTTTCTTCCATGATCAGTTGGTCCGATTGATTTGGGCCTGAAGTGAGGCTGTGATGGAGAAGGTGTAGTGGAACAAAGCTGCTTAACCTCACGATACCAAAATGCAGAGAGGCAGAGGAAGCCCAAGGACGGGCTATATCCATCAAAGACATGGCCTCAATGACCTGCTTTCTCAAACCAGCTCTCATCTCCTATTAGTTCATTCAGATAGGTATGAAGTAGATGAGTGCATTGATGAAGTTAGTGCCCTCATGATCCAAAAAGCCCCACCTCTGAATTGGGGCTCAGGCTTTCCCTGCATGAATCTTTAGGGAACATTTTATATCTGCATTTCATATCCACACCTTGCATGTGGTATCAGTCTCTCTGTACCATGTTTATTTTTTATTTTAAACACTTTTTTAATTAAAAAATTTTAGAGTCTCAATATGTACCCCAGCTGGCCTAGAACTCTGTGTAGCCCAGTCTGGCTTCAAACTCATGATCCTCTTATCTCAGGCTCCTGAGTACTACTAGGATTACTTAGTATGTACCACCATACCTGGTTTATTTTACTTGGTATGATGTCCCCCAGGTTCATCCATGTTGTGGCAAATGACAGAATTTTTTCTTTTTGCAAATAAGTAGTATTTCATTGTGTGTGTAGATATGTGTATTTATATGCATGTACATATATGTATATACTAATAGAATATAATGTATAATGTAAATATATATAATGTATAATATGTATGTATAATGTATAATGTAAATACATACTCACACATTACATTTTCCCTATTCATTCATTTATCAGTTGATGGACATTAGGTTGTTTATTTGTATTTCTTGGCTACTATGAATAGTGCTTCCGTGAACATGAGTGCATAGATCTCTCTATACTCATTTTATTTCCTTTTCAGATATGCCCAGTTATGGAATTGCTAGATTGTTTGGTGGTTCTGCTTTTAGTTTGTGTGTGTGTGTGTGTGTGTTTGTGAGAGAGTCCTGGGGCTTGAACTCAGGGTCTGGGTGCTGTCCTTGACCTTTTCTAATCAAGGCTAGCGCTCTACCACTTAAGCCACAGCTCCACTTCCAGTGTTTTGGTGGTAAATTGGAGATACAGATATTCCTGTCCAGGCTTGGAACCATGTTCCTCACATCTCAACTTCCTGAGTAGCTAGGATTATAGATATGAGCCACTGGCACCTGGTTCTGCTTTTAATTTTTTTTTTTTGGTAAGTCGTGGGGCATGAAATCTGAGCCTGGGTGCTGTCCTTTAGCTCTTCAGCTTAAGGCTAGCACTCTACCACTTGAGCCACAGTGCTACTTCCGGCTTTTTCTGCTTATGTGGTGCTGAGGAATCGAACCCAGGGCCTCATGCATGCAAGGCAAGCACTCTACCACTGAGCCACCTTCCCATTTACATTCCCACCAACAGTACATAGAAGGTGTCTTTTCTCTACCAGCATTTGTTGCCTTTTTGATAATATCTACTCTAAGTAATTTGATAAAACCAATCATTGTGATTTTGATTTGCACTTCCCTGATTGTTAGTGATAAACATGTTTTCATATATCTGTTGGCCATTTATATGTCTACTTTTGAAAAATATCTGCTTAAATCTTTTGCTCCTCCTGAGTTTGTTTTTAATGGTCCACAGGAAAATTACTTTACCTTATAATAGAACTTTCTTTGTATGAAATCCTAATGGATATATCCACTGTCTGTGTAGGAAAATATGTTGGCCACTATCCCCAAATGAGTAAGTATCTGGACAGGATGTCAGGACAGTTTATGAGTCAGAGGCCAAGTTGGAACTCCTCTCTCTGCCTCAGTTTTTCATCTGTAAAGTGGAGCCTGAATAGCAGGGGGTGGGGGTAGTCTCCAAAAGCTACGATAGCTCTCATATTTGATGCCTCTCAACACCAACCACCAACCACCAGTGTTTCTTAAGCCATAAAATAAATGTTGCCAAGATTTTTCCCCCCTTAAGATTCATGTACTAGGAGTGTGTCAATACAGGGGGATCAGCTTTGATATGAATTACTCTTTTTCACATGTGTGTGTCCCCGAAAATTATCATTGATATAGACTTAAGGCAGGTACTTCTCATTTCATATGGCCATGCTTTACTGTTGCCCTTGATTATTATGTTCATCTGCAGTTCTGATTTATGATTCAAGTGATATATATCAGAGCTTAACCCTCAGAGAGTGTAGTCTACCATTCTAAGTCTTGTGAAAATCTCCATCTCAATATCTCTGTTCTGGTCTTGGTTTCTTCTGGGCTTTGTTTCTTGCTTCTTTCCTTCCTTTCTTTCATCTCCTTCTCCTTTCTTTTCCTTCTTTCTTCCTAGTACTGGTGCTTGAACTCAGGGAGGGCACTTTTGCTCAGTTTTTTTGCTCATAGTGCTCTACTACTTGAAACATGCCACCAATCCAACTTTTTTCTAGTCCGGGCACCCCTGAGTTTCTTTTGCTCAAGGCTAGCATTCTACCAGTTGAGCCACAGTGCCACTTCCAGCTTCTTCTGTTTATGTGGAACTGAGGAATTGAACCCAGGGCTTTATGCATGCTAGGCAAGCGTTCTACCACTAAGCCATATTCCCAGCCCACCAATTCAACTTTTTTGCTGGTTAATTCAAGACAGATTTTCAGAATTTCTGTGTGGGCTGGCTTTAGACCACTATCTTAGCCTTCTAAATAGTTAGGATTATAGACATGAGCCGTCAGTGCCCAGCTCTGGGCTCATTTTTAAAACTAACCTTAGTTTCTTGTTCTGGATACATGTTAGTCACCATAGACACTCATATGTCACTCATAGACACTTGTGGATTGAAATATTTCTCACATGGTTAAACATTTTGAAATTAACATGAAGTTGTTCCTGTGTCCTGGTCTCTTCCAACTTTAAAATAGAGACTCTTAGCTACTATACCTCATCTTTGTCTGGGAAGAAGGCATTAATGGAGTGAGGTTACATTCATGGTGCTATTTGGAGCAAATTCATAACCTATTCTTCCTATGGACAGACTCCTCCTCTCATCCTTTCCTTCTAGGTATAGCTGCTCATATACCCTTTTCATTGGGTCTTATGATTTTTCTTATTATTTGAGTTCTTTGAGATTTGAGATATAGAAATTGGGCACAATATGACTATTCCATCTATCTATCTATATATTCCATAATTTCCCTTTTATTCACTTGGAGTGAAAATATTAACACTGATGGAGAGAACTAAATATAAAATACATCAAGGGTGTGTGAATAAAAATGAGCAAAAGTTTACACACATGAGAAATACACCAAAGGAAGTATATGATTGATTTTTGCCACTACCCTTTTGATCCAGTGTCTGCATTTTGAAAATACCATGCACTGCTTGTTTTTGAGGCCTCTCAGCACTTTGCGTCTTTCAGGAGTCTGGGTGGTGACCATTCTTCCTGCCTCCCTCACGTGTGTGAGCTATCTGTTCCACATCCTGGCCTGTTACAGGTAAGACCACTCAAAGTCAAGTATGTGATTTTATCTAGAAATGCTTGCTATAGATTTTTCCAGAGTTCCTGAGCAGTGCCTGCAATGTTCAATATAGGCTTAAGAAGTGAATTCAAGATCCAGGGACAGTGGCATCTTTTGGTAGGAAGGAAGGGAAAAAACCCCAACTATTGATTTGAATTTCTGAATTCAAGTCACACTGCCTTCATCACTGTAGCTTTGTAGTAAGTTGCAAATCAAGAACTGTGGGTCCAGCGATTTGATTCTTTTCTAGGATCTTTCCACCTGGGATGCCTTGAATCAGACTTCTCATGTCTCAGCCTCCTGAATAGTTAGAATTATTTGCCTGAGCTACTGGCGGCTTGCTAATTGTCCCCTCACTTTTTTTCAAATTTCCCTTTATGTTGCTATAAGGTCAGGCTATAACAGATTGATTTCCTGTTTTAACTGTTTTTAAATCTTATGATCTAAATGCAATGTCTTCACCATGGCAGAACAAGAAAGTATAAAAAGCAAAATGAAGAAAATGAAAACCACACATAGTCTCATCTATCAAATTTCATTACCATTTTAACTTGGACAATGTAGTTATCATTTTGAGAAAAAAAAAAAAAACTTTTACGATTTTTGAAGACAAACTAGAATTGTGCCAGGAACTATGCTCAGCATTGTGGAATCTCAGCTGCCTGACACTAACCTCCCTGTATCTATTGGTCTCTGACTTCATTTCTAATTTTTTTCTCCAGAAAGCACATAAAGAGGCTGTGGGCAGGAGACAAACAGTTTCTCCCTCCGAGGTTCCACAATCCTTCCTCAGCAGCAAGTGTGGTAAGTCCCCAGGGGTTTTTAAGTGCTGAAACTAAGCCATGAGCCTCATCTGTCTCATTGGGTTGTAAATGACCTCAAGTGAAACAGGTGCAAGGCTCAGGGGGTCGAAGGAAACGAGCTTTTCCTCTTGCTCTGAGGCCCCTGTTTTCCTTTTAAACATCAGGTGGCCATTGCAAGATACTCTGGCTGGCAGATAGCCTATATTCTGTGGGGTAAGTGCCTTCCTATGACCCATTCAACCCAATACACCTTCCCTGGGCACCAACAGGGTCCCTGGCTGTGCAGAAGGGAGAGAGGTAAGTAGGATCAGCTCTAATTTCTGTCCTCAAGGGAACGCAGGATGGGGGAGAAACGCACACACACAGTAGGTCTGCCAACCCCTATTTGTCCTGAATTCACAGGCTGTGTATGCTGCAGGCAGTGGTGACCAGAGGAGGAAATGGCTGTCCACCACAAGCACAGGGCTCATGGGCTTTTTAGGGCAGTTAGCATTTAAAGGATACCTGATGGGATTTGTAGGAGGGGAGTGAGAAGACAGAGAGGGCTGTGCTAGGCCTAAGAAACAGCACCAACAAAAGTGTCAGGGTCTCTGATGGAGGAAGGCATAAGGCAAGCTGCAGGGGGCGGGCAGGGCATGAGGGTGGGTCATGAGCCCCAGTGACCTCAATCTCACCCCCCAGGATACCTCATCATCCATGTGGTGCAGAGCCTGTGTGGCATGATGATCGTGTATGGCCTGGTGCTGCCTGTCATCCACAACCAGGGCCTGGAGCTGCTCCAAGGGCTGGGGCTTGGATTGTAAGTGCTGAATGGGCCTTCTGTCTTTGCCTTTATGTGAGAATTAAGCCTCGGGCCCAAAGTCTTGATTCTGACCTAGGGATGGGTCGTAATAGCAACTCAAACAGGGCAACTTACAGTTTATAAAAAGGCTTCCTCTCTTACTGTTCTCTGGGACCTTCATGGAGTGTGTATGTGTGTGTGTGTGTGTGTGTGTGTGTGTGTGTGTGTGTGTGTGTGTGTGTGTTACATATATGTCCATTTTCTAGCAGGGTAAAATAAAATTCTAGGGAGATCAAGTATGAGGCAGGACAGCATGATGGAAGGGGGCAGGGAATTATGGCTAACCAAACATTTGGATCTTCTATGTGGATGGGGGTAAATTATATTCCCTTCTCCAAGCCTCAGTTTACTTCTGTAGAAGACAAAGTGAATGCTGGCATCACTGAATATTTACTATGCATCTTACTCATACCAGTCCTATGAGTTGGGTGGTTCTGTACAGACCAGGAAATAAGAATTTAGTCCAGGAGAGATACGTAGTATTTGGAGCCAGGCAGTCTAAAGCCAAAGCCTTTTGTTGTTGTTGATTATGGGGCTTGACTCAGGTCTTGGGCACTGTCTTTGAACTTTTTTGCTCAAGGCTAGCACTCTACCACTTTGAGCTTCAGCACCACTTCTGGTTTTCTGATAGTTCACTGGAGATAAGAATCTTGTAGACTTCCCTGGCCAAGCTGGCTTTGAACTGTGATCCTCAGATCTCAACCTCCTGAGTAGCTATGATTATAGGCATGAATCACCAAAGCTTTGTAACCACTATCCCACACAACCACTCAGAGTGTGAACACAGCACATGGCACTTTCTGAGGACCTCTTAGCTTGGTTCCATACTTGCCAAGGGTCACTCACGGGCCTGGAGTGGAGCCTATCGTGTCTACTCTGTTATACCCTTTCATTCTTAATGTCACTCACACAGCTGTCATTCTGATATGAAGGGACACTAAAGAGAGCCATGTGTAGTGACCTGCAGCCACAAGACTTGACCTTGTGGCCTTGGGAAAACCACCTCCCCTTTGTGAGCCTCCGTTTGCTTGTCTACATGATGGGCATGGGAATACTTTGAGCATAAAGCATAGAGTATGCACTTCTGTTGTTCTGGGTGGTGAGCATCTCTCTATCACTAGACATCAGAGAAGGGCCTAGAAGTAGCCCTAGAAGGACTCCTTTAGGATGGTCCTGCCCTGTATTTCAGCCTCACTCTATCCATCGTTGTGGGCCTCATGATCCTTCAGGGTTGGATCGCCGCCAGCTTCTTCCTGCAGCCCAAGCTGGGCACAGCTGACAAGCAGAAACCCTTGGCTCTCAACAACAGGTAAGGGCACTGAGGGAATTTCAGGGTTTCCATTGTCTCTCAGCCCTTCCCTCTTTTTTGGGGGGGGGTCTGGTCATGGGGCCTGAACTCTGGGCCTGGGCGCTGTCCCTCAGCTCTTCAGCTCAAGGCTAGCACTCTACCACTTGAGCCACAGCGCCACTTCAGGCTTTTTTTTTCTTTTTGCTTATGTGGTGCTGAGGAATTGAACCCAGGGCCTCAGGCATGCAAGGCAAGCGCTCTACCACTGAGCCACCTTCCCAGCCCAGCTCTTCCCTCTTAACCCTTGGCATATTCTGGTCACACGAGAGCATGTGAGAAGTTGTGGTACAGGGCCCTGGGGTAGGCTCCAGAGCCATGCTGCCTGGGATCTAATACCTGACATCCCTTACAAGTGCTGTGACTTTGTGTGACTTTACCAAATGTCTATGGACCATAGTTCCCTTACTGAGAAATCATTTTATATGCCTTAAAAAGGTGTTATAAGAATGAACTGTATTAATGTGGACTTAGAATTTAACGGTGCCTTGCATATGGGTAAGCCTTTCTAATTCAGCGAGGAAACATGGGCTCTGGGAGTAAAGAGGTAATGGTGACACCGTCTGCCAGTGAAAAGTTCACAGTCACCAGAGTGGACAGGCACATAGACCACATAGACTCCAGAGGGTGGAAAGCCATTTCAGGACAAACATGAGTGGTGGAGGGGAAATGGCAGGGCAGAGGAGGAGAAACAACGCAGGGTGAAGAGAGGCAGGGGAGGAGGGAAGAGGAGAGACAGAGGAGGGGAAGGAGGGAAAAAGAGAGGGGGGAGGGGAGGAGACAGAATTGAGGTAGGAAAGAAGAGGAAAGGCAGGGGGAAGAGAAGATGCAAGAATGGAAAAGGAGAAGCAGGAGAGAAAGAGGAGAAGCAGGGGAAGAGAAATTGGGAATGGAGAAGGAGAGGCAGAAATGGAGGAGGAAAGGCAGGGTTAGCAGGGGAGTGGTGGCCGAGGAGGAGGGGGTCAGATGGGCAGTTCCTCTGGAGAGAGGATGTTTGAGCTGAGGTGAGCACAGGTAAAGAGCAGTAGAGAGTTTGGCTGGCAGCTGCCATCGCGTGAATGAAGGCAAGGGAATGTTTTAGGAGTAGACAGAAATCAAAGTGATCACCACATTGTGACCTTAGAAAGCCAGAGCCAGGAAGCTAAAGCTCCATGGAAGCCCCGACCTTCAGGAGGCACAATGTGGACTTAATCCCAGAGGTAATCAGGTGGTCCTTTGGAGGACAGCCCTGGTTGGGGAAGGCTGGGGAAGCCCCCATGCCTTGGTGCTACAACCTCTGAGCCAGCTATAGCTCCAAGATTTCTTGTCCTCCAAGAAGCCTGAAACCCCAAGCATTGCTAGGAGAACCTTTACTAGCATTTGTCCTGCACTGTGCTTAGCATCGTCCCCATACTCTAGAGCAAGAACCCACTCCAGTACCATGAAGAGGGCACTGGCTCTTTATATTGGGCATCACAATCACTGGGTTAGGAGGTGGAATCCCAAGGTTCAACACCTGATCTGGGGACTACCAGAGTCCCCTACCTGAGGGACTTTCTTCTGGTCCATGTCTGTTTACAGGAAAGCCTTCCACAACTTCAACTACTTCTTGTTCTTCTACAATGTGCTGCTGGGAGTGGGTGCCTGCCTCTCTAGGCTGCTTGTCAGCTGCCTCTTGGGCTCCTGGCTGGTTGCACGCATTGACAGGACCATCATGCAGAGTGGTTATGAGGGCGCAGACATGGGTGAGTGACCTTCTCTGGGCTGGCTGGTCTTGCATCCTTGAGGCAGATATCTGGGGAGACAAGTATCATGGGGCTGGAAGTTCACATCATTGTTATGCTCACAGCAGATCTTCTGGTATGCCCCATAGAAACCTTTGCAGTCTATTTAAGAGGGAGTGCAAAGTTGTTCAATTCCTGCTGATTTACTCGTCCTTTGAGGTATAAAAGATGGTAGTCAAAAGTAGTCAAATTTAGGCCAGGTGCCAGTAGCTCATACCTGTGAACCTCCTAGCTACTCAGCAGGAAGAGATTTTGAGGATCCTATTTAAAGCCAGCCTGGGCAGGAAAGTCTGTGAGACTTTCGGTCGTGGGGCCTGAACTCTGGGCCTGGGCACTGTCTCTCAGCTCTTCAGCTCAAGGCTAGCGCTCTACCACTTGAGCCAAAGCACCACTTCTGGCTTTTTTTCTTTTTGCTTATATGGTGCTGAGGAATCGAACCCAGGGCCTCAGGCATGCAAGGCAAGCACTCTACCACTGAGCCACCTTCCCAGCCCCGTCTGTGAGACTTTCTTCCTCTTCTTCTTTTCCTCCTCCTCCTCCTCCTTTCTTCATCTTTCTTCTTCTTCATCTTTCTTCTTCTTCTTCTTCTTCTTCTTCT